GGGCCCTCACATGGCAGAAGGTGTGAGGAATTTCTCTGGGGTCTTTTATGAGGGCACTAATCCCATTCATGAGGGTTCTGCCCTCATGACTTAATCACTTCCCAAAGGTCCACTTTCAAGTACCATCACTTTGGGGATTAGGTTTCAACATATCAATCTCTAAGGACACAAACATTCAGTCTATGGCAACCAAAGGAGTGATTGCTAGTGGTATGGTGTTTCTTTTGGGTGATGAAAATGTTACATACAGAACTTGAAAGCAGTGATGGCTGCACAACTCTGCAAAAACCACTGAACTGTACACTATGAAAGGGTGAATTTTATGGTTTGTGAATTGTAACTCAACAAGGTTACTTTTTTAAAAAGAAAGCAAATGTCACAAATAGATCAATGGCCCAGAAAGCAGACATTGGAATAGACCACACAACCTCTAATTTATGACAAAGCAATACTGCAGTACAGTGGGGGAAAGGATGGCTTTTTCCAAAAATGTCCCAGGCCAATTAAATATCCATGTAGGGGAGGAAAAAAAAAACACCTGCCTTCACTACAATATCACATAGACAAAATCAATTCCAAACAAACTGAGGATCTAAATGTGAAATGTAAAATTAAAACATTTATAGGACTAAGAAAACTTAGAAGAGTATCTTCATGCCCATAAGGTAGGGAAAGATTTCTTAAATGGGATACAAAAAACACTAACAAAAAGGAAATATAACATTTGTAGTATATTAAAATTAAGAATTGCTCATTAAAAGATACCATTAAGACCGTGGAAAGTCAACCCAGTTGGGAAAAGATATTTACAATACTTTTATAGACAAAAGACTCTATACTGAGAAAACATAAGGACTCTTGTCAAAAACTTATAAAAAATCTTACACATCAATAAGAAAAAAGTCAACTGAATAGAAAAAATGAGCCCCCCAAACAAAACTAAATAAGCACTTCACAAAAGTTATCAAATGGCCAATAAACAAATGAAAAGTCACTCAACTTCATTAGACATCAGGGAATAAAAATCAACACCATAAAAATCAAGACAATAGGGTGAGAAGAAAACCACTGATTGGGAGAAAATATTTGCAAAAGACGTAACTGAAGATGTTACCCAAAACACATGAAGAACCCTTAAAATTCACCAAAAAAAGAATACAATCTGATTAAAAATTAGGCAAAACATCTGAATGGGCACTTCATCAAAGAAAATGAACACTTGGCAAATAAATGAAAAGATATTCAACATCACATTATTAGGGAATTGCAAATTAAAAAGAGAGATCACTACACACCTATTAGAATGGACAAAATCCAGAACACTGAGAACACCAAATGCTAGCAAGGGTGTGGAGCAACAGGAGCTCTGTCTTTCCTTGCTGGTGGAAATGCAAAATGGAAATGCTACTTTGGAAAAGTTTGGCAGTTTCTTAGAGCTAAAGATAGGCTTACCATATGATCCAGCAAACACAGACTGAATAGGTATTCATCCAAATGAGTTGAAAACTTATATCCACACAACAGCCTGCCCATACACGCTCACAGTAGCTTTACTCACAATTTCCCAAACCTGGAAGCAACCAAGATTCCTTCAGTTGATCAATGGATAAACTGTGATACATCCAAACAATAGAATATTTATTCAGCACCAAAAAGGAATGAGCTATCAAGCCATGAAAAAACATAGAGACACCTTAAATGACATTTTGGAAAAGCTAAAACTATGGAGACAATAAAAAGATCAGTGGTTTGGGGGACAGTAGGGTAGGGGGAGATGAATAGATGGAGCAAAGAGGATTTTTTAGGGCAACGAAAATACCATGTATGATATTATAATGATGGATATATGGCATTATATATTTGTCCAGATCCACAGAATATACAATAAGAGTGAGCCCTTGGATAAATAATGGACTCTGGGTGATTATGATGTGTCAATGTAGGTTCATCCTTGGTAAAAAATGTACCATCTGGGGAGTGCTGTTGATAAGAAGAAGCTATGCATGTCTGGGGGCAGGAGGTATACGGGACATCTCTGTAATTCCTTCTCAATTTTGTTGTAAACCTAAAACTGTACTGAAAAAAATTGTCTGGAAAAAAAAGTGTGCACACACAAGCTCACAAGTAAAGAATATTATAAATGGAATTTATTGTTGCTTTAGGTAGGATGTCAGACCTCCCAAGATCTCCAAGAGTATGTCTAATATATGAAGGATTTTTATGCAGAGAATCTACAATGCAAAGCCACGTTTGGAAACCAAAAATTCAACCATGTCAAAATACAGGTGAGATCCAGAAAGTTAAACTGCCCAGAGTTACCTACCACTACAGTGGTAAAGTCAAGGTTAGATGTTACAACTCTACCCCAATACCTTATTATACATGGACATTTCAGAAAGCCTAGAGTGGTATGGTAAGACTTGTTTTTAGTGAACATGCTGGGTCACAAATAACCAATTCTTGTTTTCCTCTAAGCCTTTTTTTCCAAAGTGCTTATAAGTCATCTATTTAACTACCTGTTCTAGAGGTAGACCAGGAAAAGATATTAACAAGTTACAATTGCAAAAAAGACAAAAAGGGAAAGCCAGACCTCATGTACCCCTGATGAAAAAACATACCACCTACATTCTTGCCAAAAGAAATGAACTTGAGTCTAATCAAGGTTTTGAATCTAGCCACCAATTTATAGAAAATAATGGCATCAAGAGTATGAAATCACAGAAAACTCTACAGTTCAAATGGCCCAAGTTTTTCAACAGTAAGATACAAGGAAAAAAAAGCTTGAGGAGGGAAACAGAGATTTTAAAAGATGGAAAAGCCTTATCAATTTTTTTAAGGAGCAAGACTAAACAATTAAGAAACACAATAAGTTCATTCCTATAAAAGTCAACACAGTAGTTTCTTTTGAGGGGAAGGAGCTACTTTTGGGATGGGACATTTGGGGTGGTTGGCAAAGTTTTCCTTGACTTGACTGGCAATTACAAGAAAATATGCCTTCTAATAATTTTTTTTTGTTTTGTGTGTTTTTCTGCATGTTTTATTTTACAATAAAAGGGTTAAAAGTGAAAAAAATCTTGGGTCAACAGATTCCAGATATAATATCTTTTGAGTAACAGAAACCATTTACCTATAAGAGATTTATCATTTTTTTAATGTACTGCATAGTTATTGATTAGGACTACATATGCTCTCTAGCAATTCCAAAAATATAATTTGAATGCCAGCTATTTTTAAAATACCATGCTGAAGTAGCTTTATTTCCTTAAACACTCCCCTCTTCTTTTATTTATCTCATAAACATCAACCATGAACTCCTAATCAGCCCAGATGAGGTAATATTACTTTAAAATAGACACGGAAAGTTCCCTACTAGACTTAAAACAGTAAATTAACAAGTCAAATGTTTAGTGAAAGCCTATTACATAAACAGCAGTATGATGTCTTTTAGGGAGAATACAGAAGCACACTCTGATCCCCACATCTTAAAAAGCGTATAGCCTAGGAGAGGAGATGTTTACTTACTTGTTCTACCTATAAATAAAATATCTGAGAGATTAGCAGGTTCAATCTCTTAGAATGAAGACTATATTGGTATTCTTATTCTCTCCAACCACATGATATTAACAAGTCACCTTTCCCATAGACTAAATACTACTTCCTTTACTCTTCTTCCATTTGACATGTCCCATCCTTTTGATGATTTTGTCTCCTCTCCTTTAGGCCTCTTCTCTTTCTCTCTTATTAAAGGAAGAGTACCAGGAAAGTAAAGTTGAAAACCAAAAAATTTATTTCAGATGCAACACTACAATAGCAATAGAAGTAATCTGACAAAGGACCAGTATAGACAATGCAATAAATTGGCTAATAAACCTAAGTTCAACCTGTCTAGTAACCAAAGAAAGGCTACTTATAATAATAATACTGTTTTTGCCTATCAAAATTGCAAACATTAAAAAGTGATTTTATTCAATGCTACCTTGGTGAAATGAAATATTGTAAGTGGACATGTGATTTGATACAAATTTTCCACATCAGTTTGTTTCAACGCCCTTTAAATATTCATGTCTTTTGGTCCAGCAACTCACTTCATTCTAAGGAAATAATCTTATCATCTAAAAAACTGGAGGAAATTATATGTATCTGGATGTCTGTATTACCAAAGATATGGCGATACATTACAAACCATCTGAAAAATAGAAACTACTTAAATATGCAATAATACAGAAAAGATATGCTTAATATACTACATACACATTAATTAATACAGAGAGACTAGGAGGAAACACATCCAAATTTTAACAGTGAATTTTTTCCATATAATGGGACTATAGATAATTATTTCCCAAATTGTATACCATGTAATATATACTAAAGGAGAAAAACTCTAATACTTCATATTAAAAAAATCACTTCAAGTGTTTCATGTCTTGATTTTTGTCTATAATACCACTTCTCAGTATCACAGAACAATGAGTATTGATCATATTCCCTAAAGTGTAAGAATTATCTTATACATTACTTGATAAGGAAAAGGGGGAAAAGTGAAAGGTTAAATGTGGACACATTCCAAATGTACTTACATCCTCTACAGAGTACCAAGACATGAGACCAACAGATGCAATGGTAGTAGTACAGAGAGAAATAATCTACAAAGAATGAGAAACTCCTAGAAAGGAATACTGGAAAATTATCCCCAATCTCAACTTTAACTTAAAGGAGAAACAAACTTTTGAATGAATCATAGCCCCAATGGAGAAACTGTCTGAGGCTAACTAGATGCACACACCCAACATTTTGCATACGATTTAATTTACATCCTGCCCATGTGTCCCTTCTAGTTTAAGAATCTTTCGCGTAAATGTTTTAATGAAACAAAGACTTCAGATGCCCTGAAAAAAATTTCTCTAATAAAATCATTCAAATTTACAAATAACACAGCCACTTTGATAACTAATTATAATATCCTTCAGTTAGGTAATTCTTCCAAACAGAAGATTTACCTTTCCTGAAACAGATTCTCCATCATAGAAAAGATAGTGTTTTTCTACTTTGCCATCTTCAGTTTTCATTTCCGCCATTTTCCGGGTTTCCCCATCATTAAGGACAACATCGATCTCACAAATGGGACCAAAAAAGCCTCCAAGAAAACTCTGAAAATAAAAAGAAAATACTCATAATTATCATGCTTTGTCAGTCATTACATTTTATGATTCCAATTTAATTAGCTATGACTTTACCTATGACCTACTGATAAACAGACTGCCAATCTATGAGTTCACAAGGAAATACGAACTTACATCAAATTCTGCATCAAAACTAAACAAATTTAGTATTTTGTACAACTACATACATACAGTTAATACTGTACTCTTAAAAACTTGTAGAGGATAAATTCATGTTGTGTTTTTTACCGCAATTTTTAAGAGACAAAAAGAAAACTAAACAAGTTTAAACAGGCTATCATTTCAATTATTTCCATAACTAACCATTACAAATAAATACTAACATATACCAGAAATCTAAAAAATTAACTAACTACTGGATTTGAAAAATTACCTTTAGTTATACTTCCATGAGAGTCTTTCATTACAGCAGAACTGATAATTACTTATACAAATTACTTATACAAATCCAAATGAATTACTACAATGTACTACCTAACTGTAAAATCTGCTATACAGGTCTGAACAGAATGTGTTAACACATTGTGTAAGCACTTGGAATAACTGGCTCTAATGGAAGAGACAAATGAAATTTCTGTGAATTTTTCCAAAGAATACATTCAAGCCTTGTTCTGTGAATCTTGAATATGACAGAAATATAAGGAACAAAGATCAATTGCTCATGGATGCCAAAACACATTAGTTGGTAATAAATAGAATCCATTAGCAATTCCGACATCAGAAATAGTTGTGGATTATTTTTGTCATTAATGAAAGCTAGCTTATAGTCTTTTTTGCAAATGTACATAGAGAATAGTCTCCTATCATGTCATCCTATATCCCTCCTTACTCTGCCCTACAGAACCTACATTATGTGATCTCGTACAAACATAAATCTGATTATATCATTCTCTGTTTGAAATCCTTCAATGGGCTGGTGAAAGTATAAAAGAACTACTTTAGAAAACATTCGCTGATACAGTTAAAGATACACATTTACCATGCCCCAGCAATTACACCTCTATCTACCCTAAAAAGAAATTCTTCCACAGATGCACCAGGAGGCAAATATAAGAATATTCATATCATTGTTCATAATAGCCCCAAACAGGAAACAATCCAAATATCCATCAAGATGAGAAGGGACATATAAATTTTAGTTTGTATTCATAGAGCAGGCAATGGAATGAGATATAACTATACACAAGGATGATCTCACATTCACAATGCTTAAAGAGGACAAAGACACAAAAAGTATACATACTGTATGATTCTATGTACTAAAAAGTCAAAAATATGTAACACATTATAGCATTAAAAGTCAGAAAGTGGTTGGAAGAAAGCACAAAGGGACCTTCTAGGGTAATATTGTTTGTTTTTATCTGAGCACTTAATACATGAGTGTGTTCACTTTGTGAAAATTCATCAAGCTAAACACTTGTGCACTTTTCTATAGCTAATGTTTACTTCAATGAAATGTTAAACACACATACAAGCACACAGCATGTCCTGCATTACCTGGCTCTATCTATCTCTTCAGCTACAACAACCTCAAATGATCCAGCTTAATCAAATTTGCCAGTCTCCTTGTTCTAAACCAAGTATCCTTAACCTAATTCAACCTTTGAGTCTCAGTTTCACTCATCTCTGTGAAGAGGCCTTCCCTAACTTCCTAATAAAAACTGGATTCCCCAAATTCAGGTCTCACAACACCATAAAGTTTTACTTCACCATTCATTATAATTTGTGTGCTGCTTCTTTCATACCTGACTCCCTGACTGAACTGTAAACTCCAAGAACAGATACCTATTTATCCTCTGCTCATCACTAAAGACACGCTGGCTAGGGGCAATGCGTAGCATTTTGTAGAGGGCATTCAAATACCTGCTGGATGTGATAAATCAATTTTGATTAAAACACATACTGTCCTAATAATTCTAAAAATGGATACACAAAAGAAATGAGCTGAAATCTGGAATATCTGGTAAGTCTTGCCCTCCTCCAGGAAATTAGCATCGGTGCAGTAGCAAAGTCTAGGGCAAGGAACTTAGGTCTGAGTCTCAGTTCTGTCCTCAGGTAGCACAGAAACAACAGGAAAGCTAATGTTCCTCCTATGGCTATGTAGGTCACAGGATAATACTAGGATCAAAGAAGATAGTGTTTTCCTAAATTCTGAGCTTGCTGCTTTGTTTTTATTAATCCTATATGAGCAAAAGGATTATAATTTCAAGAAATCAATTAAAAGAATTGCCAGCTTAGTACTTTTGACATACTCCAAAAACATAAACAGCAAGTTTTCCTTTTGACAAGATGTTTTAATCTTTCCTGGCAATATTACAAATGACAAACTCAATATAACTGGAAAATTAATCAGAAAAGTGATCTGAGCTGACTTAGAATGAAAAACATCAATGACAGGTCACATGCACTGTCCCTTCCTAGTTAGCTTTCTTTCATATCCCGTTTTAAACTTAAAACTTGTTCAGCATTTTCTCCTAAGGGCTACAGATACGAAAATGTATAGCAGCTGAAAATCAGCCAGCTGTTAATTTATTAATTAACAACTATGTGCAAAGCACTGAATCAGCAAGGGGTGGGGGCTACTGTGGAAGGAGCAATTAGGAAAGGAGAGAAGACAACAGCCTCCTTCTAGTTATAAAATAGAAGCAGGAAAATAATTTTTACTTTTCTCATTTCCCCCTACTTTATACTTCCCAAAGCTGCTTCCAGGAAAAATAAGATTTGAAAAACCATCAAAACTGTTTTACAGATAAAAGGAAAAGTATGGTAACTTTTTCTACATACCTACTTAACACATAGAGCTGAATGTGGGATTTGAAAGCTGATATTAAAAAGTCAAAGATAAAATAACAAAATCAAAACTGCCACTTATTGAAATGGTGTAAAATAGACTTAAGAATCTTAAAAACTTCACAATAACATTATAATTAAACAGCACTTATTTTTGACACGATATGTTAAAATTTTTTAATTCCTATGCATTAAAAAGATGTAAAAACTATGTGTTATCCTCTATTATCTTCTGTATGCATGGAGTACTTCATAACTAAAAATTAAAAGTAGACCTACTTTTCAACTCAGAAGGTATTTTTTAAAAGCCTGGTATAGCATATGAAGAAGAGTACTAGGTTAATAAGCTATAACACTTTAACGAGGTTAAAGTTAATGACATCACGGGAATTTAGCAGTAGGTTAACATCCATTGTTTTACACGAGGAAACACCAAAAATAAACCAGCCTTACTAAAAGCTTCCAGAAAATTGTGAATGTCTTATATTTAACAAGCAGACAACAGAGAGAAAAAATACTTGAAATATTTCTCTTCTTTGCTTTCCTTCTAAAAGGAGTTGAAAAAAAAGATTCTCTAACCAAAGTCTTGCTTTTGAAGTTTTTATTGCAAGATGTGCACCTTGTCATTTCAAACAAAAAGTCATAAAATGAAACCCTTTTTAAATTATTCACCATCAAATTATAACAGTTCTGATATGTAAAGAAAAATACAGAAGGGTCAGAATGGTGAAGACTGGAAGGAGATGGAATAAACATTGTATAAAAGATTAGGATACTTTACAAAGGCTTTTGCTAAAACTACAGAAGGCAGTTCAAGTAAAAGATGACTTGAGTCTTTTTGGAAAAGATATCTTCAAGTGAGCTTTGAGACTATGAGATTTTCAGAAGCAATACTAGGCAATATTAGAGAATACATAAGTTAAAACTCTTAGATAACCTTTAAATAACTAGATTACAATATACAAGACTATTAAAACATTACAGCAATTGTTTTTAGTTTTCTAATCATGGCCTAAACCTATTTTTTTCATACAATTTCGAAACTCAATATTGAGCATTACCATATAGCAAAATTACGTGGGTCCGTTAAGACAACAAACTTTTTAGCCATCACTGAAGAAATTTCACTACCCCCAAATGGATATAAAGAAATGCAACTCAAGGTGAGGCAGAAGGAAGGCTCTCAAAATTTATTCATTTAGCCCATACACAAGCAATGAAACAGCAAGTTTTCATACATATATTACATGTGCCCATTTTAGTGTTGTAAGGCTTTACGATTTAGTTTGACGAGTAATTCGAAAATGAAAATAAATTGCTCTTAAACATAATTCAAAAGCTTATTAAAAGAAGTCATTTTAAATGTAAGCAAAATAATTGGAGGGCCTTTTAATAAAAGTTGTTTGCAAATTATATTCAATTAAAGAAGCCTTCCCTAGCTGCTAGAGTTAGGGTCCCCCAGTACTTACTTCTTGGTGCTTGTCACAACTGTAATTTCCCATTAAACAAATAAGTATACAATTAAATGTTTATCTCCCTCTAGATTGTAAGCTAGAAGAAAACAAGGCTGTTTCAGTCTTGATCACAGCCCCTGAGCACACCTAAGTAATTACTTGCTGAAGGAAAGAATAAAAGGTTCCAGGTTTAATAATGAACCTGTCTTTACTTTTTAAAAATAATTAAGCAACATGATTTCCGACTTTAAAATGTATTTACTCAAACTTTTTTTTAATACACATAGATTCATCTTTACCCGAAAGTGTCAAATTAGTTTATTGAACCGGTGAGCGCTGGGAAAGCAGTGTAAGAGCACAAAGTAGGCGCTCAAAATGTTTGCCAAATGAAACGAACGTTACCGTAAAATGAACCAAATTAGATCTAATCTATAGGAGAGTGCAAACGCACACAAAGTTAACCGCCATCGTGCTTCCCACTGCGGTTAGAGTACTCTGATTTCCCTCCCTCCCTCGGCTTCGCAGGCCATCCCCACATCCCAAATCGTTAAGTTTCTAGAAATGGCTTGGGGAAGGAAATAACAGTCAATGCGTAAACCAGCTGGCACGAAACCAGTGTCTTCTGAGTTAAAGACCTCCCGGTTCCTACGTCCTTTTCTTTTTCTCCCATTCTACAAGTGTCCACATCAAGGCTGAACTGGGGTCAATCGCACGTCACCACATCCATGCAAAAACAAAATCACGGAGTTTATCAAGCGCGTGACACACTGGAAAAGTGACCAAATCGCCCCGAGTCCGAAGCTAGGGAACTCCCGGGTCACCCCACCTGGAGGGAAGCGAGGCTGCCCGGAAGGAGCGCGAGGACCCGCTACCTTGGAAGGGGAGGCGGCGCCGAGCCCCCGCAGAGGCAGGGTCCGAGTACCCAGCCAGGGCCCCCACGGCCGGTCGAGGAACGCCGGCAGAGGTTCAGACATGGCAGAGAGCGCGCCGCCGCCCGCAGGTGCCGGGGCCTCCCCGGGAACCGGGAAAAGGCGG